AAAAATAATTCCCCTTTTGGCCCATCTTGCCAAAAATTTTGCTGCCCCCCCGGTTTTTTGGCCGGCCCTTTTTAATTGAAAAAATTGGAAACCGTAAAAAAAAAAAAAACCCAAAAAAAGGAAAGGTTTAGGAATGTCCCCACCCCCCTTTCCCTTTTAAAAAATTAATTTTTTTAAAAAAATCTAAACTTCACTGGCCTTTTGTTTCCAAAATTAAACTATTTTTCTGAAACTATATAAAACTCCAAAATTTTTTATTTTTTTTTATTTTTTACCAAGGGAAAGGCCCAAAAAAACCCCTTAATTTTAAACCCCTTTTTGAAAAACCCCCCAAAGTTTTTAAAATAATTACATTTGGTTTTTTTTTTTGTTTGGGGCCCCCTTTTTTTAATTAACATGGTAAAAAAACGTAAAAAAAAGGTTGGGGGAAACCCCACCCCTTCCTTTTCTAGGGAAAAAAAAAATTTAACCCACCTAATTTTTAAGTTTATTTTAAACCCTAAAATTTAACCCTTTTCCCCTGTTTTTTTCCCCCTTCAAATAAAAAAACTTTAAAAAAAAAATTATAAAACCCCCTTCAAAAATTTCCTTTTCAAACCCCATATAAGGCTTTTTTTCTCTTGGGGGAAATTTTTTTTTTAAAGGTGGAAATGGAACCCCCCATTTTCTATTTAGGGGGAAAAATTTAAAAATTTTTAAACAGGAAAGGGTTCCCTTTAAGTTATTTTTTAAATAAAAACTGAAACAAAAAGGGGAAAAAACCAATGCCTTTTATTTAAGCCTTTTTGGGGTTCTTTAAAACCCCCTTTTCTTGGGGATTCAATTGGGGGGGTGGGAATTTGAAAATTTTTTTAAAAATCTTTTTTCCCAAAAGGTTTTTTCTTGTTAGGCCCCCCCAAAACTTTGGGTTTTTAAATGGTTAAACCCCTTGGGGGGGTAAAAAAACCAAAAAGGGAATTTTTTTTCCATCAAACCCAATTTTTTGGGGCCCCGCCCCAGCGGTTTAAAAAAGCGGGGAAATACCGGGGGCCTCAAACCCGGGGGGGGGGCCTTTAAAAAAAATAATACCAGAAAACTTAGGAGACAATCTTCCGGCATTTAAAAAAAGTAATTTTCGTCTGACAGTCTTATTATATATATATACTGGCGTTAGAGGAAGTGCTCACCGCAGCTCACTGAGTCTGTTGGCCTCAGTTACTTGACGGCCGCATTCAGTGAGCTTGCAGCATGGTGTTCTACAAACACTATTTATCAACTGGTCTTGAAGGCGGTAGGAAGTGCTCACCAGACCACCTTACAGTGTACTTCTACCAGCCTTGGAGAGTATTTACAGGACAGGTGATGTCTGCGGACTCACCGCCTACGCTGGTCAACTGTGGGCCGGAGTCATCGGATGCTGTTTTAGTGGGACGCTACGTGAAGAAAAGGTTGGAGTGTGACACTAAACTGGGCTAGGACCGTAGTGTGACACTAAAGCAAGTATGAGGGAGTGTAACACTGAGATATGCTATAGGACCGTAGTGGAACACTGAGAAGAAAAGGGTGTCGTGTGACACTAAAGAAGTTACGGTTGTAGTGTACACTGAATAGTGTCATGTGACTGGCCTCGAGAAAGACGCTGTGTGAATGTGTCGCTGGGTGTCAAGGGTGACACAGTAGTGTATGATGCAGAGAAAAGGGTGTCGTGTGACACGGAGAGTAGGAGCGTCATTACGCAGAGAAAAGGGTGTCAAGTAGTGACACGGTTGAGATGGAGCGTCATTACGCAGAGATAAGGGTGTTGTGTGACACGGAGAGCTGGAGTGTCCTGAGACACACAGAAAAGGGTGTCAAGTAGTGACACGGTTGAGATGGAGCGTCATTACACGGATAAGTGTCGTGCGACACGGGGAGCGTCACAACTCGGATAAGTGTCGAGAGAGACACGGAGCGTCATAAGTTGATTATTTATTATTGTACAAGTGTTATTTATAATTTATTATTTTAGCATAGATATATATAGTGACACAGTAGTGTCAAAGAAAGTGGTACCCTGTGTGTAGGGTCAGTAATTATTATTTATTATTTTACAAAGATGCTAATTATAATTTATTATTGTAACATGTATATATTATCAGATGTTTATTAGTTTAAATACCTCTAGACCAAAGATTGTTTTTTATATAATATTAAAGATTAATTTATTTTAACGTGTATTTATGTATCCCGAACTCTTTATTACAAAATGAGTAAACTACCATCTCAAAAATACTTTTTTTGTAATATATGGGGGCCTGTCCGGGAAGATTATGATCATCAAGAATGATTTCTGGGATGATCTTATCCGGGATGACAGTTCGAGATACATGATACGTATTACATTAATCTTTGTGTGTCGGTCCTTTTGTGGTGGGGGTGTTACGGCCCCCTGCCAAACTAGCGATTAAATGGTTAACCTGCCGGCCGGCAGTACCACAGGGCACATCATCAAACCCAATGTGGGGACTGCTGAGCCGGCTTTAGAAACAGTAAGTACCTGAACACCTCACGGTACGCATCTAAGCAGTAACTACCAGAACACCTTACGGTAGACATCTACTGGCAGTAGAGTATTCGTCTGACCGTCTTATTATATATATCTACTGGCGTTAGAGGAAGCGCTCACCGCAGCTCACCGAGTCTTTTGGCCTCAGTTACTTGACGGCCGCATTCAGTGAGCTTGCAACATGGTGTTCTACAAACACTATTTATCAACTGGTCTTGAAGGCGGTAGGAAGTGCTCACCAGATCACCTTACGGTGTACAGTGGACCCCCGCATAACGATCACCTCCGAATGCGACCAATTATGTAAGTGTATTTATGTAAGTGCGTTTGTACGTGTATGTTTGGGGGTCTGAAATGGACTAATCTACTTCACAATATTCCTTATGGGAACAAATTCGGTCAGTACTGGCACCTGAACATACTTCTGGAGTGAAAAAATATCATTAACCGGGGGTCCACTGTACTTCTACCGGCCTTGGAGAGTATTTACAGAACAGGTGATGTCTGCAGACTCACCGCCTACGCTGGTCAACTGTGGGCCGGAGTCATCGGATGCTGTTGTAGTGGGACACTACGTTAAGAAAAGGTTGGAGTGTGACACTGAACTGGGCTAGGACCGTAGTGTGACACTAAAGCAAATATGATGGAGTGTAACACTGAGATATGCTATAGGACCGTTTGGAACACTGAGAAGAAAAGGGTATCGTGTGACACTATAAAGAAGTTACGGTTGTAGTGTACATTGAATAGTGTCATGTGACTGGCCTCAAGAAAGACGATGTGTGTGTCACTGGGTGTCAAGGGTGACACAGTAGTGTATGATGCAGAGAAAAGGGTGTCGTGTGACACGGAGAGTAGGAGCATCATTACGCAGAGAAAGGGTGTTGTGTGACACGGAGAGCTGGAGTGTCCTGTGACACAGAGAAAAAGGTGTCAAGTAGTGACACGGTTGAGATGGAGCGTCATTACACGGATAAGTGTCGTGTGACACGGGGAGCGTCACAACTCGGATAAGTGTCGAGAGAGACACGGAGCGTAATAAGTTGATTATTTATTATTGTACAAGTGTTATTTATAATTTATTATTTTAGCATAGATATATATAGTGACACAGTAGTGTCAAAGAAAGTGGTACCCTGTGTGTAGGGTCAGTAATTATTATTTATTATTTTACAAAGATGCTAATTATAATTTATTATTGTAACATGTATATATTATCAGATGTTTATTAGTTTAAATACCTCTAGACCAAAGATTGTTTTTTATATAATATTAAAGATTAATTTATTTTAACGTGTATTTATGTATCCCGAACTCTATTACAAAATGAGTAAACTACCATCTCAAAAATACTTTTTTTGTAATAGTGCTCATTTTTCTATTAGAGATTATAATGCAGTGCTTAAAACATTAGCATACAGAGGCAATATATAACACTAAATGGATCACCCATCACAAGACTCATTGAGGGAAAATTCCTAGGAATCCACCTTGACAGTAGCCTCAAATTCCAGACACACATATAACAAATTTTTAAGAAAATCTCTAAGACAGTAGGCATACTTTCAAAGATACTGAACTATGTTCCGCAATCAGCTCTCCTTGCACTGTTTCATTCATTCATCTACCCTTATTTCACATACGGAATTTGTGCATGGGGATCAACAACATTAAATCACCTAAGACCACTAATAACCAAGCAAAAGGCTGCAGTCAGAATGATAAATTCCCACTCCCGACAGCATACTCCACCAATATTCAAGTCTAAAACTGCTCACCGTTAAGAACATCCATACTTATTCATGTGCCTACAACATACATAGAACAACACTCAAACATAAACCCTCCACTCAAACTTCTCACCAACCTTAACAGGACACACGACCACAACACAAGACATCTCTTTTTGATGTACCCAGTGTCCATATCTCACTGTAAAAACTGTATGCACATAAAGGGCCCCAAAATTTGGAATTCATTACCAGTAAATACTAAAGTAACCAGGTCTGAACACCAATTTAAGGCTCTTCTCAAATGCCACCTACTCACCCTAAACTAAATACTCAATATTTAGCTTTACCAAAAATCTTCCAATTACCTATTATCCAAAACAATACTGCCTTACACCCTACTGTAACATTCTCATACTGTAAACTACTTCCAACAACTCACAATGTTATAGTCTCATAGTATAATTTCAATATTTATTTTTGAAACTATTGTAACTAGAGTAAAATTACTGTCAACTATAAATATAAAAAAGATGTACAACTTAAACAAACTGTGATAAATTTCTTTAATATTAAGTAGTCTGTAAGTCATTAAGTTAAGTCTGCCCATAATGCCTAGGCATGATAGTGGCTCTCTTTGCACTGCAACTCATTATTGTAATTTCATAATCTCAATGTAGTCTTGCAAAGAAATAAATTGTTTGTTTTGTTTGTCTGACTTGCTCAATTTCTTATAAATGTACTGCACACACTGACCACACAGACCAATTCTTTCATATGTAGGCCTACCAGCTTTCTCTCATTAGATTTGAGGGCGCTAGAATTTAGGCGTACTAGTATGTCAAAAACCTTGGGTCGTAAGACGTACTAGTACGTCCGAAACCCTCAAAGGGTTAACAATGACGAGAAAACCAAAAAAAGATTCGAGTCTGTGAAAGCCAGCAAACCAGAAAAATGTCTGGTAACTGAATTTATTTGCTGATGGCCCAAAACCCATCAGTAAAAATGTTAATTCAAATCCATGAATACAGAACAGCATGAAACTGTAGTGTCAACTATACATGCTATGCCCGTCTCCTAAGAAACATTATATAAATACAACATACATATTTTGTAAATATTATGTCATAATGTCAACTACCTATATGAAATTATACTAAAGTAATATATAACACCAGATAATATAAAACAATTAAATTAAAATAGACACAATAATAATAATATAAGTGATCATCAATTATCCACCAATCTATTATTTATCATCCAACTTTATCTGGCAGTCTTGTTTGATCCTGCACCCACACAATGAAACAAAAAAATAATGGTCAAAACAAAGCAACCATAAAAAATTTATGTGATAATCAAGTGTTGCTGAAAATTGGGTGTAACATCCTCCTCATTCCCAAAATAGGGAGATAATCAATGATCTCCTATACATGAGGTTGTTTGCACCATTTAGTAGCAGGTTTTCAGGTCACCACATCACTATGGTGGTACATGGAATGTGTGTGTGTCAAAACTCATAATACTGACAAGAGTGTAACAATGGCATGGTAATGTTCAATAAATGGATGAGGTACAGGTAAGAAAATAAATATAAATGTAATATATACAGTGTGTGTATACGTGCATGTGCTCACCTATATGTGGTTGCAGGGGTCAGATCACAGCACACATGCACGCACGCACACACACACACAGGAGCTGTGACTCGACCCCTACAACCACATACAGGTGAGTAAAAACAAACACAAACACACACACACACACATGTACGTGGAACGAATGCTTCTTAAAAAGGACAGCATGATATAAATATGAACTAGATAAGAAATAGCAGGAAACAGAGCTAACAAAGTAGTGGGTTGGGAATGAAGGAAAGTAATTAAAATTAACCTAGAGCAATTCACATCTAGTCCATGAAACAGAAATACCACTTCATATATTTTATTAATGTGATGATAGTATGGTAGGTACATGTAGAATTATTATATATGTGGGGGTAATGAAGGTGCTATCAATCTGGTTAAGGGCACTTGATCCAAGAAATTGGGACTATCCTCCTCATCCTTGCATTGAACCTGATTACCACCCATTCTCCTGGCGCTGTACGATCCCTACAGATTTAGTGTTAATCCCATAATTATAACATGACAAGATCTCGATTTGGAGCATCTCCATTTAAAAGAATTCAGAAGTAATGGACAAAATCTGCCAAGTTCAGACGTGGAGTGGTCATTCACCCTCCATTTTCTCTAGATTTATCATGTTTACTTTATTATCACATATTATCAACCATAAAGCAAGGCTTTTGCTAAATAAATATGCCCAGAGTAATAATACCCCATGTAATGAGAGCAAAATACTGAAAATTATAAACAAAAAATCTAAATATTGAAAAAGCACTGTTAGGCTGAAGGAATGTGACAGCCTCTGGGCTCACTGGGGGTTAAGGGAATCAGAAGCCAACCAATGTGTCATTCACGGGCACTGTATAAATAATGTCAATGCAATAATGTAAACCTACGGTGATGAACCATTAACAAACTAAAAATAAATTGTAGTTTATTCCTAACAAAACAATTTTGGTTATAACTGTGCCAAGAAAAAGGAGGGAAGGAGGAAGGGATGGAGGAAAAAAGATGTTTCACAAACACTGACAAACTGGGAGTCCAGCTTCACACGAGTGATTATCACAAAAAGTAAGTAAAAACAACCAGACTGATGCACAGTAGAGTACTACACGGATGCAGTAATGCTGCAAATTTGGAAGTTATTTTATTAGTATGGTAATACGACAGACACTGGTGGAATCTCTTTTACCAGACATGCAACAGACGCGATTGATATAACCCAGCTAATTTAGCCCCATCTGTTTAGACCTACAACTCTAATGGTGATAAACTATTTATATATATAAACTTTATCACCGGTATCCTCACATTTTAACCCTAATGCTGCAGAGGATATGACAACACTGTACTGACTGCTACAAAAGTACATCACTGTATATACAATGTACAGAATGGCTTTTTATTTTTTGCTATTTTTAAACATTTGGAATTAGTGGACAATCAGCTTCAGTGAACACCACTGCCCCATTAAACTGAGGTTTTGCTGTAATTATATTCACTGAAAAACAAAAAACTAATGGTTATACAGTGCTCGGGAAATAGGAGGTAATCAAGCTTGATCTGACGAATGAGAAGGTTGCTCCAATCCAAAAAGAACAAAAAAGGGACAATACTGTTATTGGAACAATATACAATTTGTGCATTTGTGTACAGCTCCAATACCCTGGATCAAGAGCCCTATACTAGCCTCAAAGCACCTCTCCGTGACAAATGCTAAGTATATACAGTACATTATCAGGAAGACCAGGTGTTGCTTTTGAATGCAATACTATTTTATCCTTTCTGAACAAGTGCCTCTCACTGCATGAAAGTGAGAAACAGAACAACAACAATGGTCACAGATACAGAAAACCTAATCAACAACTTAGAAATAATTAAAAAGATACCAGACAAATTTAACAAAACATCGTTTCAATAATTCCATAACCCACAATGGTTCCTGTAACAGAATTACATATCTTGCTGAACAATGATTACAAAAATACTGTGATTAATAACAAAACAACTTGAAAATATATTAACTATAGTTATTAGCCATAAAAGATTTGCAAATATCTATGTCTCGTAAGATCCGAGCATCTCATCATCTGCAAAATGAGCAACTTTCATCTACTTGCATTTTTCGAGTGTTTTAAAACATTTTCAACATTGTCAACAAAAATTGAGTCTGTAGTACACAATGGCAATACTTTATGAATGAAAATGATATAGAAGGAAGGGAGAGAGGAGAAAATATTTTGCTTGATAGGAGAATTGAGAAAAATTTCTCCTGACAAGGGTACTGGTCACAAGATGACTCTTCAGTAAAGCTTTGGTCATTTGACTGAGGGTTTTGCTGGCTTATGGGTCCACCCTATAAAAAATTATAGATCATGTTATACAGCCAGGCCTAGATTTAGTGCAAATAATGAATCCAATGAAGTGGAGTCATTATTTGAATTCACACTATCCAAATTATACATAATTTTTGAGCACGCTTTGAAGAATTTGGGGGAAAACTAGCATTAATTAATTTCGCACTAAATTGAAATTTACACAATTCAAACAAACTAATCGAGACCTGGCTGTAATACAGTATTATGTACTATATAGCTATTATGAGATGAAAGTTATTATGCTTGAGCAGAAGACTCAGTACATTAGTAATCAGTTCATAGATGGGCGGAGTAATATTTTTCAAAATAAAAATGCTTTACATAAAGAAATCTGAGGACACAGATAATATTAATACTTATGTTCATTGTAGAACTTCTTACCTATCAATCTCGCTTAGGGTTTTCGTATACCCTGGCTATCAAAGCTCGTAATATGTTGCCTGGAAGTTTCTGGTTTTGTTGGATGAGGTTATCTAGTGCTTCTCGGGTTCTTTCTGCCAACTCCTCAGGAGTCTCACCAGGTTTGTGGTAAATCGGCTTTCCAAGGTGAGCTCGCAGCTGAAGAAAAACGTGGCTGTAAGCCAGTAGCTCCACAGTTGGCTAGACAGACTGAGAACTCAATTGCCTATGTTATATTATGTATTAATGCTGGCAGAATTACTGACTGTGTTAGGCAAGGGGACAAGTGCAACTAATGTGACAGTTTATTGTGGCAACGTTTCACTCAAGCCATAACAGCTTGACAAAGCTCCTGGAGAGCAAAACGTTGCCACAATAAATGTCACATTAGCTGCACTTGTGTCCTTTTAAAAAAAACAAGGATTATTATTAACTGAGCTACAATGAAGGTCACTACTGTAGCTTCTAGTGATTCTCATTTTGAATCTATGAAAAATAATGTAAAGATTCTATTCATCTTCATGCTTAATACTGAACTAGAGTATAAAAAATTAAAGAAGCTTTAAAAAAAAAAAAAAGTTAAACAGACAAAAGTATAAGTTAACAATACCTTGACAGGAAATCCACCATAGATGGGAGCACAAGGAAATCTGAGCTTCTCGTAAAGAGTAACCCATAATTTCTGTGGCCAGGACACTGTGCGGAAGGCCTCTCTCAGGTTTTCAGTAAACATGGGAACAACAGGCTGCAAAAATTCAAAAATATTTAATGCACCGACTGATGCACTGATGGCAATAAACAAATAAATCAAATTACATTGCACACATAAAACAGTACTAAGGTATCAGAAATGGCATGACATACTGCATATGCACAAAAAAATTCAATGCCATTTCAAATTAAACTTGAACATGCACATTATGCCTTTGAACAACCTGTCTGGTTGGACACAACCTGGTCCCACCTAGAAAAAATCCATGCATATTCCATGCCTCTTAAAATAGACAAGTCTAGTACTGTGGCAAAGAAACAAGAACATACCAGTGAATGAAAAGGTATCAGTACAATAGTAGCAACAGAATTTGCAGTGACGATAATTTTGAGAACAAAAACAGGTCAGAGCAATACAAAAAAAAAAAAAAAAAAATAAGCATTTCTGTAAAATGCCCATCATCAGAATAGAAGAATGATATACAAAGAACATTTGTTTATATTTGTGGCCTGATATTTGACTGCAAACTGAAATGTTAGCACTGGAGGTAATGAGAGAGAGAGAAAGACAACAGTCATTAGTACAAGACATATTAAGAGTATTCCATTGAAGACAGAACAAACTTGTTTGACACAGGAAGATCAAGGACAAGATGGTGCAACGTTATGGACAAACACCTGAGGATGCTTGATGACACGCCTAGCTTCTTAAAGGCGATCCTCAGAAACTGTCTTATTTATTAAACCAACAGATTAAGTTTAATTCTTTGTGCATGTGCACATCATAAGCCACATACAGTCAAATCCTATTATCACAAACACTGTTAAGCCAGAAATTCCCTAGCCTGAACTGAACACCTCAAAATGGATGCCATACTCTTGTCTTAGAGCTGAACCATTTAAAAAAAAAAAAAAAAAAAAAAAAACTATTAGGTGAAATCAGAGTTAGACCAAATTCATAAATATTACCTACCTTACACTCCAGCAGCACATCCATTAAAAACCACCAGTCTCCATTTGCTCCTATCTAACATGCTCACACAAGACTAAGGGATGCTTAAGCCTGCTTTACCCACTCCCTCCAACTATTCCTGGGACAATCTCTACCCCTTCAACCTTCTACCCCAGATTTATACACTCTTTTCAACATCCTATCCCTCTCCATCCTCTCTACATGCCCACGCCACCTCAACAACCCCACCTCTCTGCATGATATTCACACCACACAATGCTTTCAAACATGACATTCCCAATGCCTCTTGCCTCCTCCTGGCTGCAATGTTCCAAACCCATGTCTCGCACACTATATAAAAGCACTGGTACTACTACACTCTGGTATATTCCCTTTTTTTGCCTCTATAGATAAACTTTCTTGCCACAGATCCTTCAACATACTACTCACCTTTTTTTTTTTCCCTCATCTCTTCTATGGTTCACCTTTTTATCATAGATCCACCTGCTGATGTGTCTACTCCCAAACTTCCTCAATTTTGCCTCCTAAGTTGAAATTCAATCTATCACTGCCTATACTTTTTATCCTTGTTGCAAACTTTTTTCTATGCTTGCTTTTAATTTCCTTTTACTGGGAAACAGTCCTTCTCCCTCCTACATACCCTAACTGAAGCCTCATTATTCACATAAATACTTTTTATTAACCTACCTCCTTTTCCATAAATTTCCTAAGCACTGCTCACTTATATTTGTCAATGTAAACACTTGGTCTACACATACTCTACTCTTCTTAAATCCTCTCCGCTCCTCTGTAATTCTACTCTGTCTTACCCCTGACCCTGGCAATAATAATACTACGATACAGTCTACTTATTATATTCAACAGCTTATTTCCACTATAATCCTTACATTCTCTCCTGTCCTTTTTTTTTCTTTATACAAGGGAACTATGCACACTGCTAATTCTTTCATATCTTCACCTCTTTCATGCATATATGGAACAAATATATACCATACTTGTCAGAAATTCTGCCTTTTCATAACATTGTATCTACTAGCTATGGGAACAAGTCAAATATAATGTCTTTCTTTCAAGACTTACTGCATTTGCCCCAATGGCTACTTTAGCAAAACCAGCACGTTTGCCCCACATGAGCTGATAGTTGTGATCTGAAAACTGTGCCTCCCGTACACCTCCAGGAGATATTGAGAGAATGTTATCCTCAGAGAGTATCTGGATGCATGAACTAATAGTCCCAGGTGTGATGTCAAAAGCTTCGAGTATAACCTTCCAACCTGAAAATAATACAGAATTGTATCACATTGTATGCAAATATGATACATTTTCCATTATAAATAGCTGTAGAACAATAACTGCAGACAATATAACTAGGTTTGCAATTATTCAGCTCAAAGAATGACATCTTTATTTAGAGTCATTTAATATCAGTGAATGGCAAATACACCTTCATAAATGTCTCAAAAACTTCCTGCAATTGATGTAATCTATTCAGATGAAATTAGTGCACAGTTAATAAACAGAGGTATCAACATTCTTGAATTACTGTACAGACACCATACATGTACTTTCATGTATGGTGTCTGCACTCTGAAGAGTGAGTAGGAATGCTGCTGTTTGGATTTAACTGAGATGTTTGTGAACTTCTGGCATGAAAACTACTGAATGAATGATGGTTAATTTATTTCCTTTTTTATGTTACCTCTATGTTGGTGAAAAACAGCCAGTCTAATAATAAAAATCTAAGAGCAGTGTATATCCATACCTTGTCTTTTACTTTGTTTATTGCTGCTAGATTCTTAACCATTCTCCCTCAAGAATTCATTACTCATAATTTTCAATCAATTTATTCTCTATATGGAATTTGTCATATTTTCAATATTTTTGACCACTCTGAGATTAACACGAGTATCATTGCTTCAAATTACTCCACTGTTTACAAATACTCTATATTAATTTCCAGACTTCTTCCTTAATGTGAAATGAAGTTAAGGTAGTACAACTAACTACTCATCCCAATCACAAGCACATTTGACCAGCACAGTGTGAAGTAAAGAAAGATTTTCTCACATCCTCAAATGCTTCATAATTACTTACTGTACAAATAAAGTTAATATCCCATGAAAACCTAAGTTTCCATTCACTTTTTTTTAATGCTGCTTCCACCAAATCAAATCATTTTTTAAACAGCTCCATAAGCAAGTCACAACACACAGTAATGGGGTAGAATATAGCATAGCATTATTTCTAATCAAACTAAAACACTATACAGTGGATCCTCGACATTCAATACTAATCCGTTCCTGAGAGCTATCGAATGTCGAAAATATCGAAAGTCGAATTAATTTTCCCCATAAGAAATAATGGAAATCAAATTAATCCGTGCAAGACACTCAAAAGTATGAAAAAAAAATTTACCACATAAAATATTAAGTTTAATGCAATAGAATAATTACAACAACAACAATAACAATAGATCAATAACAATAGAATAATTGACACTTACCTTTAATAAAGATCTGGTGATGATTGATGGGATGGGAGGAGGGGAGTGTGTGGATGGTGTTAGTGTTCAGAAGGGGAATCCCCTTCCATTAGGACTTGAACTGGCAGCCTCACCATGCCTTACCACACTGTGTATGCCACTACGATTCTTAAATCTTTCAAACCAACCTTTGCTGGCCTTAAAGTCACTCACATCACCACTAGTTGTAGGCAATTTCTTTACCAAATCATCATGCATTCCGACACACGCACTCCACTTTTGTACTTTGCAATTATCTCTTTCTTCATTTCAATAGTCATTAGCACCTTTTTTCTCGAAGGGTTGGCACTAGAAGCTTTTTTGGGGCCCATGGTTACTTATTTTGCAGAAACAAGCACCAAAAACAGTGATAATATGGATAATATGGAATGTACCGAATGTATCTTTAGATGCACGCACACTGGCTGGCTTGTAAACACTGGCACACACAGTGCAGATCAGGCCACATGTGGACACGTCTCGTATGAATCATATTGAATGTTGCATTTTCCATCGAATGTTGAGGCGAAATTTTTGCGTTAAAATGTATCGAATGTCGGATTTATCGAATGCCAATGCCATCGAATGTCGGGGGTCCACTGTACTTCTCCTTTCAACAAACCAGCCGCATCCCACCGAGGCAGGGTGGCCCAAAAAGAAAAACAAAAGTTTTTCTTTGTAACTTTAGTAATGTATACAGAAGGGGTTACTAGCCCCTTGCTCCAGGCATTTTAGTCGCCTCTTTCGACACCCATGGCTTACGGAGAAAGAACTCTGTTCCACTTCCCCATGGGGATAAGAGGAAATAAACAAGGGCATCAACTAGTAAGAAAATAAGAGAAAACCTAGAGATGTGTGTGTATATATCTTTTTTTCTTTCAACGCACCGGCCACATCCCACCAAAACAAGGTGGCTCAAACAAAGAAAAAAAAAATTTCTCTATATAAAGTTAGTAATGTATACAGAAGGGGTCACTAGCCCCTTGCTCCCGGCATTTTAGTCACCTCTTACAACACACATGGCGTACGGAGGAAGAATTCTTTTCCACTTCCCCATGGCGATAAGAGGAAATAAACAAGAACAATAACTATTAAGAAAACAGAAGAAAACTCAGAGGGATGTTTATATATATATGCTTGTACATGCATGTGTAGTGTGACCTAAGTGTAAGTAGAAGTAGCAAGAAGTACCTGAAATCTTGCATGTTTCTTTCTTTCAACAAACCGGCCATATCCCACCGAGGCAGGGTGGCCCAAAAGGAAAAACAAAAGTTTCTCCTTTTACATTTAGTAATATATACAGAAGAAGGGGTTACTAGCCCCTTGCTCCTGGCATTTTAGTCGCCTCTTACAACATGCATGGGTTATGGAGGAAGACTTCTGTTCCACTTCCCCACGGAGATAAGAGGAAATAAACAAGAACAAGAACTAAAAAGAAAACCCAGAGGGTGTGTATATAAATGTTTGTACATGTATGTGTTGCGTGACCTAAGTGTAAGTAGAAGTAGCAAGACTTACCTGAAAATCTTGCATGTTTATGAGACAGAAAAAAGGACACCAGCAATCCTATCATCGTGTAAAACAATTACAGGCTTTCGTTTTACACTCATCTGGCAGGACAGTAGTACCTCCCTGGTCCACCAACCTACTACCTAGGAACACTACTTCTTTCTTTCTTTCTTTCAACACACCGGCCGTATCCCACCAAGGCGGGGTGGCCCAAAAGGAAAAATGAAAGTTTCTCCTTTTACATTTAGTAATATACACAGGAGAAGAGGTTACTAGCCCCTTGCTCCCAGCATTTTAGTTGCCTCTTACAACACGCATGGCTTACGGAGGAAGAATTCTGTTCCACTTCCCCATGGAGGTAAGAGGAAATAAACAAGAACAAGAACTAGTAAGAAAAATAGAAGAAAACCCAGAGGGGTGTGTATATACGTATATGCTTGTACATATACGAGGATAGTGAGGCTCAAGTTAGAGTATGCAGGAAAGAGAGAAATTATTTCCCAGTAAAAGTAGGCCTTAGACAAGGATGTGTGATGTCACCATGGTTGTTTAATATATTTATAGATGGGGTTGTAAGTGAAGTAAATGCGAGGGTCTTGGCAAGAGGCGTGGAGTTAAAAGATAAAGAATCACACACAAAGTGGGAGTTGCCACAGTTGCTCTTTGCTGATGACACTGTGCTCTTGGGAGATTCTGAAGAGAAGTTGCAGAGATTGGTGGATGAATTTGGTAGGGTATGCAAAAGAAGAAAATTAAAAGTGAATACAGGAAAGAGTAAGGTTATGAGGATAACAAAAAGATTAGGTGATGAAAGATTGGATATCAGATTGGAGGGAGAGAGTATGGAGGAGGTGAATGTATTCAGATATGTGGGAGTGGACATGTCAGCGGATGGGTCTATGAAAGATGGGGTGAATCATAGAACTGATGAGGGAAAAAGGGTGAGTGGTGCACTTAGGAGTCTGTGGAGACAAAGAACTTTGTCCTTGGAGGCAAAGAGGGGAATGTATGAGAGTATAGTTTTACCAACGCTCTTATATGGGTGTGAAGCATGGGTGATGAATATTGCAGCGAGGAGAAGGCTGGAGATGTCATGTCTGAGGGCAATGTGTGGTGTGAATATAATACAGAGAATTCGTAGTTTGGAAGTTAGGAGGAGGTGCGGGATTACCAAAACTGTTGTCCAGAGGGCTGAGGAAGGGTTGTTGAAGTGGTTCGGACATGTAGAGAGAATGGAGCAAAACAGAATAACTTCAAGAGTGTATCAGTCTGTAGTGGAAGGAAGGAGGGGTAGGGGTCGGCCTAGGAAAGGTTGGAGGGAGGGGGTAAAGGAGGTTTTGTGTGCGAGGGGCTTGGACTTCCAGCAGGCATGCGTGAGTGTGTTTGATAGGAGTGAATGGAGGCAAATGGTTTTTAATACTTGACGTGCTGTTGGAGTGTGAGCAAAGTAACATTTATGAAGGGGTTCAGGGAAACCGGCAGGCCGGACTTGAGTCCTGGAGATGGGAAGTACAGTGCCTGCACTCTGAAGGAGGGGTGTTAATGTTGCAGTTTAAAAACTGTAGTGTAAAGCACCCTTCTGGCAAGACAGTGATGGAGTGAATGATGGTGAAAGTTTTTCTTTTTCGGGCCACCCTGCCTTGGTGGGAATCGGCCAGTGTGATAATAAATAAAAAATGTATGTGTAGTGTGACCTAAGTGTAAGTAGAAGTAGCAAGACTTACCTGAAAATCATGCATGTTTATGAGACAGACAAAAGGACACCAGCAATCCTATCATCGTGTAAAACAATTACAGGCTTTCGTTTTACACTCATTTGGCAGGACGGTAGTACCTCCCTGGTCTACCAGCCTACTACCTAGGAACACTACTTGCAACCATTTATTATATATGCAGCTGTTTTTAAAAAATGCTAGACAGCAAGTAAAGTAAAAACACTGCATTCAATACAATATCTAACCTTTGTTAAAGTTAATTTTTGTACACTGCAAGCATAAAGACCCACTAATTGACTAACTCTTAACACAATTATGTTCTAAAACATCAATCAACGTACAAACTTTAAGGTTTCAATAAAGAATAGATCATCAATTATCTGACTCCTTCATGGTAGAGGGTCAACTGAATTTTCAACAAAGACAATTGCCTCATCTTTTATGGCTCCATTTTATTGCCTTTTTTCAGTAATATCTGTTTATATGCTGGATCAAACAAAACCACCACATAATGTTAAACACCAAATAACAGATGATCTAATGTATTTAATAAGAATGGAGCAACTCATAACACAAATGATACCATAAAAGTAGGATGGTGAAAAAAGCAATTTATTTTTTGTTCTACAAAACTCACAAATATACAAATCATGCACTAAGATCTACACTCAGCCCACCACTAACCTGGTACTTTCTCCAAGAACCTGTCTCCCACACAGTGTATAAGCCTCCCTCTAACTAGAATGGTCCTGGCTACCAGGTAATAGATGTCCAAGGGAATGGCACCATGATAGTAGATAATAAGGCAACGGCCCTCATCAGGGAGGTTCTCTAAGCCCTTCACCTCGTAACCTGTGAATATAATACATACCTTTGCACTTTATTAACACAAATGTGGAATAAATAACAAAACTAAGATCTGAAGTATGGAAAACTACTTTTGTAATGGGGACCATGGGTAGCCCTAGTTTAATAAAGGGTCATCCATCATAACCTCACATAAGAAAAAAATTTCATTGTTATTTGTAGATGGCCTTTATATTTACAAAACAAGTTAAATCCCCCCCCCCAAAAAAAAAATGAATATTAAAAAAACATCACACAATTTTTAATTTTGGATAACTCTGAATGAATGAAATAATGCACCTTATACATACAATAGTCATGACATACTGTACCTCAGAACTATTATATGCATATAAAGTTAGAAAAGGCATATGATAGAGTGGATAGAGGAGCAATGTGGCAGATGTTGCAAGTATATGGAATAGGTGCTAAGTTACTAAAGGCTGTAAAGAGTTTTTATGAGGATAGTGAGGCTCAGGTTAGGGTGTGTAGAAGAGAGGGAGACTACTTCCCAGTAAAAGTAGGTCTTAGACAGGGATGTGTAATGTCACCATGGTTGTTTAACCCTTAAATGGTCCAAACGTATATATACGTTTTTTCAACATCTGAAAGTATGTAAAAAAATGTAGATCTTCTTGTTTGTTTTACATTTGAAAATGTGTAAAAAAAAACTTTTATCTACATTTTTTTTTGTTATATTTGAAAATATGTAAAAAAAAGTAGATCTACTTTTGTAGCACTACGAATTTGAACGTCGATCTGTTTGGACCGTTTAAGGGTTAATATATTTATAGATGGGGTTGTAAAAGAAGTAAATGCTAGGGTGTTCGGGAGAGGGGTGGGATTAAATTATGGGGAATTAAATTCAAAATGGGAATTAACACTGTTACTTTTTGCTGATGATACTGTGCTTATGGGAGATTCTAAAGAAAAATTGCAAAGGTTAGTGGATGAGTTTGAGAATGTGTGTAAAGGTAGAAAGTTGAAAGTGAACATAGAAAAGAGTAAGGTGATGAGGGCATCAAATGATTTAGATAAAGAAAAATTGGATATCAAATTGGGGAGGAGGAGAATGGAAGAAGTGAATGTTTTCAGATACTTGGGAGTTGACGTGCAGGCGGATGGATTTATGAAGGATGAGGTTAATCATAGAATTGATGAGGGAAAAAAGGCGAGTGGTGCATTGAGGTATATGTGGAGTCAAAAAACGTCATCTATGGAGGCAAAGAAGGGAATGTATGAAAATATAGTAATACCAACACTCTTATATGGGTGTGAAGCTTGGGTGGTAAATGCAGCAGCGAGGAGACGGTTGGAGGCAGTGGAGATGTCCTGTCTAAGGGCAATGTGTGGTGTAAATATTATGCAGAAAATTCGGAGTGTGGAAATTAGGAAAAGGTGTGGAGTTAATAAAAGTATTAGTCAGAGGGCAGAAGAGGGGTTGTTGAGGTGGTTTGGTCATTTAGAGAGAATGGATCAAAGTAGAATGACATGGAAAGCATATAAATCTATAGGGGAAGGAAGGCGAGGTAGGGGTCGTCCTCGAAAGGGTTGGAGAGAGGGGGTAATGGAGGTTTTGTGGGCGAGGGGCTTGGACTTCCAGCAAGCGTGCGTGAGCATGTTAGATAGGAGTGAATGGAAACGAATGGTACTTGGGACCTGACGATCTGTTGGAGTGTGAGCAGGGTAATATTTAGTGAAGGGATTCAGGGAAACCGGTTATTTTCATCTAGTCGGACTGGAGTCCTGGAAATGGGAAATACAATGCCTGCACTTTAAAGGAGGGGTTTGGGATATTGGCAGTTTGGAGGGATATGTTGTGTATCTTTATACATATATGCTTCTAAACTGTTGTAATCTGAGCACCTCTGCAAAAACAGTGATAATGTGTGAGTGTGGTGAAAGTGTTGAATGATGATGAAAGCATTTTCTTTTTGGGGATTTTCTTTCTTTTTTGGGTCACCCTGCCTCGGTGGGAGACGGCCAACTTGTTGAAAAAAAAAAGTTTCAGAATACTTCAGTTTTAGTAAGATTGTGATTTTTGCTTTATCCTACAAAAACTGTGAAAGAGCGAGACTTTAATGGGTGGTGAAATATGGAAGAGGTTCACAACCAACCCACAATTCAGAGAGGAAATTTTTTAGATGATGCTTCTGTCCATCCAGGACCATTATTACGTCGTGAGCAAATTCTTCATTGAAGAGGTCAAGGAATATAAAAATTTTGGAACAGTACTGTGAAAAAATGACTCAAGGAAGAGTCAAGTACTGGAACAGTGTATGGAGAAGCAGGATGGCAAAAAAAAAAAAAAAAAAAAAAAGACCAGAAAAAGTGGGATATGAGATGGTAAAATAGGTCAGGTAAAATACTTAGTGAAAGCAAACAACCTGCCCTCTTAAATACTAAGATGATTTCTTACATACTGCTTTCAGTAAATATCTCTATTTACTGAAAACAGTAACTTTAGATGGGTTAGGTTAGATTGTCATATTAAAAAAATATTAACAAATAATAATATACAGTACTATAATGCCAATAAAAGCAATACATAAAGCCAATAAAGACTTTTGGAGAGTGAGGGTATTATATGGAATCATGTACTACATACCACAAGCCATAGGACAAATTTTTTAACTACCAAACAATTATGCTTAGAGTAATAGCCACCTTCCTCTCGTATCAGTGCAAACCACCCAAAAAATATGAAAAATCATCAAAATGAAAAATTTATTCAGGCTATTATCACAGCCATACTAATACTGTTGGGTTTGAGGGTTGCAATGACCCCAATAATTAAACTATCATTTTTCTCACATTTTTCAATGATAGAAATAAGGGTAAGGAGCAAGGGAGGAGCAGAGGGAGGAAAAAAGCAGCATTTAACAAACATTGCAGACCACAGAAGGCCACCATTACACATGTATTGTTTGTTTACCACACAATCAAATTTCACAGCCAAAATGATCCACAATGTATACACAGGTTTCATATTGACTTTTATTTTAGCCCTGATTATGCAAATTATAACAAGAAAATATTTTAATTTTTGTGGAGTCCCTTCAAATTTGTAAATAAACATAATCTTCAGTGTCCTCACATTTTAGCCCTGATGATGCACAGGAAACAAAACTGCATGTGTTGAATGTTATCTGGTAAAGAATTTAGTTACAGCTGTTATATACTGTATAAACATTAATGCTGCAACAAGGAGGAGGAGGCTGGAGGCAGTGGAGATGTCGTGTTTAAGGGCAATGTGTGAGCTAGATACAGCCTCTCCTCACCAAACAACTATAATGGTAGTGGGATTGTGTCAACCATCTTTGATACTGTGTTTTAATGTCACCTCTGCACCATTTATAACATTTTTAGTATATTTTTAAATGTTTATACAGTAGTGTACTGTATACTGTAATAAACAAATTAGAGGAAATCAGCCCTAATATACATTATTTGTGACCGGCCAGAGAGCCCGTCGCAAGTTCAAGTCGTCCATAAACAAGTACATCACTAAGTGAGGAGAGGCTGTATTATGCAAAGAATTCGTATTGTGGAAATTAGGAGGAGGTGTGGAGTTACTAAAAGTATTAGTCAGAGGGTTGAAAAGGGATTGTTGAGGTGGTTTGGTCATTTAGAGAGGATGAAGCAAAATAGGATGACTTGGAGGGCATATAAATCTGTAGTGGAGGGGAGGAAGGACAGGGGTTATCCTAGGAAAGGATAGAGGGAGGGGGTAAGAGGTTTTGTGTGCAAGGGGTTTGGACATGTAGCAGGTATGTGTGAGCGTGTTAGAGAGGAGTGAATGGAAATGAATGGTTTTTGAAAGGATTCAGGAAAACCGCTTAGCTGGACTTCAGTCCTGGATGTTGTAAGTACAGTGCCTGCACTTTAAAGGGATATTGGCTGTTTGGAGTGGCATCTAAACTGTCATATCTGAGCGCCTCTGACAAGACAGTGATTATGTGTGAATGATGGTGAAATTGTTTCTTCCTTTTTTTGGGTCTCCCTGCCTTGGTGGGAGATGGCCGACGTGTTGAAAAAAATAAATAAATATTATCATCAGTTTACTCATAGGATATGAAAACACTACAGGTGTTGACTACTGATGCAGAAAAAACTTGATTTATGCCTATCTGTGGGACCTGAAAATATACACCCTTCTTATACCTGGGTTTATGCAAAAAATTTTAATGAGAGAAAAAGTAAAAACAAAAACTCTTGGTCTTATAGCCCAGACATATTGCCAGTAATATACAGTAATCGCAGTCCCACATGCTACAGTCCTACATCTAGCTGTCTGAGCTACAAAAATATACATTCACTTTGATTAGGAGGACAGGCTGGAACATGGAATCCTGAAGAAAAGGATCAATAGGAGGATTTTAAGAATATGTAATAGTGACACGAGAGGTTTAAATAAAAGATTTATTTTTAACCTGGAAAGTTAAAGCAGTTTATGTACAGCATAAGCTTCATAAAAAGGGAGTTTCCAAACATGCAGTATACATTATAAAATACAGTAGAGAATCTTAAAAAAAAACAAATACAGATATATAGGTTTCTCAACTATGATGGCAAGGCATTTTTGCCTTGGGTAATACAGCACAGCATTCCGAGTAGGATTTAAAAGATGGAAAGGAAGTAAATTAAGTTTCTGCCTTTTTACATATGTAAAAATTTCTCATCTATAAGGATAAAAATTATTGCCTTAAGTCATCTGTTAATTACTATACTGTACATATAATATACTGATTACCATGCCATATGTAGCCATGGGCATCCCATACCAGAGATATTAGGTATCGTCCACCAGCCCATGGGTCACGTTGTTCTATTGTTTCATGTAGTAAGTTATACACATTCTCTCTGCAAAGTAACAAAAGTTAATCTACACAGAACTGAATTACCACTTAATTAGAATGACCTCTAAAGTAGGTAAATTACTGGATGTATTAAAGGAGATACAAATCAAATTACCTTAAGAAACACAACCTGATCAATGGGTCGACACAGCTTCGTAAGGAGTCAGTGTTGCCTAACAAATTTTATTAACTTTTTTCACTTGGGTTGTGCTAGAAAGATTGAGTGTTAGAGCCTGCCTCAACTGCCTGGTGTTTCTACCGAAGCTAATAGTCATAAAGATTTTTGCAGGCACAGGGAATAAAAAAAAATGAGAGAGAAGGTTTGCAAGTGTTATGCTCCCAATGTATTGATGGACACTAAATCTGAATCTTTCTTTATTTCTTGAAGAGGAATACAGGTGAGCTGTTTGATTCACAACGCACAAGAACCGCCTGATTATTTTTTTACACAGCTACTACCATAAAATATCAATTTGCCAACACCATTACCAATTTCTAAACATCTTAACATTAAACTGTCGAGGGGCCCAAAATTAAATGCTCTTCTGTTCTGAAAATTTAAAAAAAAAAAAAAATGAATATGACAAGCTCAATTTTCTAAATGTAATAAGACCTAAAATACTGAAATCGGTTCAGGATTAATGGAATCATGATGTGAAGTTGAAAGTCAATGATTCTGTGAAGGCAACACCACAAGCAGCTGCATGCTGCTAATTAGAATATTTGGTGCAATTTTACTTTTTTTCATTTTTAGGTTTTTGGTTTAATGTCAATTATTAGAACAGTAGTTTGGTTACGCCTTATTATACATCAAATATGTGGCACTATATTGTCACCAGTGTTTACATACTTCCATATACATACTGTACATGTGTATAAGCACACTTTTCCATTTGCTTTAGGTTTCTACTATTCTAACATTTTTTTTTTTTAACTGGCCGTGTCCCACTAAGGCAAGGTGACCTAAAGTGAAAAACAAAAGTTTTCTTTTTAGGTCACCCTAAATGTAAAAAGACAAAACAGTTTTTCTTTTTACATTTAGCAATTTATACAGGAGTAGGGGTTACTAGCCCCTTGCTCCCAGCATTTTAGTCACCTCTTACAACATGCATGGCTTACAGAGGGAGAATTCTTTTTCACTTTCCCATGGAGATAAGAGGAAATAAAGAACAAGAACTTTTTTCTTACAACAAACTGGCTGTATCCCACCAAGGCAGGGTGGCCCAAAAAGAAAAACGAAAGTTTTTCTTTTTAAATTTAGTAATTTGTACAGGAGAAGGGGTTACTAGCCCCTTGCTCCCGGCATTTTAGTTGCCTCTTACAACACACATGGCTTACGGAGGAAGAATTCTGTTCCACTTGGCCATGGAGATAGGAGGAAATAAACAAGAATAAGCACTAGAAAGAAAATAGAAGAAAACCCAGAGGAGTGTGTATATATATATATGCTTGTATACATGTATGTGTAGTGTGACCTAAGTGTAAGAAGTAGCAAGACATACCTGAAATCTTGCATGTTTATGAGACAGAAAAAAGACACCAGCAATCCTACCATCATGTAAAACAATTACAGGTTTCTGTTTTACACTCACTTGGCAGGACAGTAGTATGTGGACCCTTAAATTTCATCATCCCTTTTTTGTATGTAAAACTTTAGCTATTCTCTATAAAATGCATTTTTTGTTAATATTTTTGGGTGTCTGGAAAAGATTAATTGGATTTACATTATGTATTATAGGAAATATTAACAAAAAATACATTTTATAGAGAAACACTGATCTCTGGCCGAAGGAGACTCGAACCTACGAACCTTGGAACAAGGTACGCAGTGCTATACCATTCTCACCACACTGGACCAATATCTTGGTGTCCAGCTTGCGCTAGACGTTTGATCCAAGGCAGCCAGCTCTCAGGGAGAAGGCTTACAGCTTTTCATCTCATTCCCTGCATGCATCAGCCTTACTAGAGATTTTAACAATGCAAGGAATTTGCAAGAGCAGGCGAAATATACACAATCACTGATCTCTGGCCGAAGGAGACTCAGACCTACGAACCTTGGAACAAGGTACGCAGTGCTATACCATTCTCACCACACTGGACCAATACCTTGACTGATGCATGCTGGGGATGAGATGAAAAGCTGTAAGCCTTCTCCCTGAAAGCTGGCTGCCTTGGATCAATGTCTAGCATTGTGCTAGGCACCAAGGTATTGGTCCAGTGTGGTGAGAATGGTATAGCACTGCGTACCTTCTTCCAAGGTTTGTATGCTCGAGTCTCCTTCGGGCAGAGATCAGTGTTTGTGTATATTTCGCCTGCTCTTGCGAATTCCTTGCATTTTATAGAGAATAACTATAGTTTTGCATACAGAAAAGGGATGATGAAATTCGAGGGTCCACGTACTACTGTCCTGCCAAGTGAGTGTAAAACGAAAACCTGTAATTGTTTTACACGATGGTAGGATTGCTGGTGTCTTTTTTTTCTGTCTCAAACTCACAGGATACCAGGTGTATCTTGCTACTTCCATTAACACCTAGGTCACACTACACATGCATGTACACTCATACATATATACACACACATACACACACACATACACACACACACATACACACACACACACACACACATACACACACACACACACACACACACATACACATACAACACATACACACACACACATGTACCACCCCACACACACACACAAATACACCACACACACACATACACACACACACACACACACACACACAACAAAACACACACACCACACACACAAAACACACACAACACACACACACACACACAGGAATAAGCACTTGTAAGCTGTAGTACACACGCAAACACACACATACACAGGATTTCACACCGTCCTGTGAACTGACCATCTGAACCTTGCTCCTTTCCCCCCCTTTTCCCTATCCTATGTAGAGACCTATCTCTACCTTTCCACTCTTTACCTATATCTCTCTCTCTACCTATCACTCTCAAACCTATCTCTCTCTCTCTCTTTCCCTCCCCCATCCTCCCCTCTAACATCTCTTACCTCTAACACCTCCCCCCCTCTAACATCTCTCCCCCTTAACATCTCCCCCCTCCTATTATCTCTCCCCTCTCCCTTTCCCCATCTCTTTTTCCCCTCCTCCCCTCCTTCTCCCCCTACCCTCTCTTCCCTCTAACACCCTCCCCCCTCTAACATCTCCCCCCCTCTAACATCTCTCCCCTCTCCCTTTCCCCATCTCTCTCCCCTCCTCCCTCCCTCCCCCCCTAGCCTCTCTCCCCTCTCGCTATTCCATCTCCCCCCTCTTTCCCCCTTCTCCCCCCTCTCTGCCCCCTCTCTCCCCCCTCTTTGCCTTCTCTTTCTCTCTCTATCCTCTCTCTCTTTTCTTTTGCTCTCTCTCTCTTCTTGTCTCTCTCTTCCCATTTTCCCTTCTAACTCTCCCCCTCTCCTACTCTTCCCTTCACTCTCTCTCCCCCTCTCTCTCTCACTCTCCCTCCCCCCTCTCCCTCTCTCTCCCCCTCCCCCTCTCTCTCTCTTGCTCTCTCTCTTCCCCATTTTCCCTTCTAACTCTCCCCTCTCCTACCCTTCCCCTCACTCTCTCTCCCCCTCTCTCTCCCTCTCACTCTCTTCCCTTTTTCCTTCTCACTCCCCCTCTCTCTACCTTCCCTTCTCTCTCTCTCTCTCTCTCTCTCGCTCTCTCTTCCTTTTTTCTCTTCTCTCTCGCTCTCTCTCTCTCTCGCTCTCTCTCTCTCTCGCTCTCTCTCTCTCGCTCTCTCTCTCTCGCTCTCTCTCTCTCGCTCTCTCTCTCGCTCTCTCTCTCGCTCTCTTTTCCCCGCTCTCTCTCCGCTCTCTCTCTCGCTCTCTCTCTCGCTCTCTCTCTCGCTCTTTTCTCTCGCTCTCCATCTCTTTCTCCATTTTTCCCTTCTACTCTCCCCCTCTCCTTCCCTTCCCTTCTCTCTCTTTCCCCTCTCACACCCCCTCTCTCCCCCTCTTCCCTTCTCACTCTTCCCCTCTCTCTCTCCTTCTACCTTTCCTTCTCTCTTCTCACAAAAAAAAAAAAAAATGGGGGGGACTCGCAGGAACCAAGGATCAGATGAGAATGGTTCTGGTAGGGAGGAGTGGATGGAGGAGCAGTGGAAAAGGATGGAACAAGAGTGGGAGAGAAAATTAGGAGAGCTTTCTAAAAAAATGGAGAAAGAGCTCTCTGTGAAATTGGAAAAGAGGTTGGAGAAGGAGACAAAGAATTGGGAGGTATAAGTCGAAACTGCAGTAGCCAAGATAAGGGTCCTAGAAGTTCAGATAAATAGGCTAAAGCGAGTTACAGGGGCATTTGACCAGAGAAGACACAGCATATGAAGCTGCGAGGCCGAACAGGAAGGAAGGAATTATGAATTATGCTAAGGTCATATCAGCCTGCCATGGAGGACCAAGGAGTGAAAGGGAAGAACAGCTGGTTGCAGATGGAGAGGGTGATAGGTCGAATGCTGAGGCACAACCAGGCTATCAAGAGCCACTGGAAAAATCAAGGGAGAAACTGACCACATACAGGCAGGATCCAGAGTCACAGAGGGTGAGGCAATGGAGGAAGAAAGGGCCAAAATCAGTGTTTATCCATGGGTTTTCAGGAGAGAGGGGGAAAGGACAAACACTGAAAGGCAGCAGGAAGAAAGAAAGGAGATTGAGAAAATCATCACGGAAATAGGTGAAGAGATGGACGAGATTGTAAATTTTCAGAGAATAGGGGGGTACTCGAAGGGGAGAAACCGACCAATCAAGCTGATTCCCCAGGACGGAAACAGTTTCGGAACTGGATCCTCCAAGAGAAACCACGATTGAAATACTCGGAAGAGTACAAGAGGGTTTTTTCCTAGACAGAGACAGAACAAAATCAGAACGACAGCAGCTGAGGGAGAGGACAAAAAAAGCGAAAGGAGCTAGGAAAAGAGACAAGGATGAAACCAGCAGAGGTCAGTCAGAGCAGAACAGAACAGCAAGGGCAAGCA